GGGGAGCACAGGGGCGGCGGGACAGCCCAGACGCGCTGTGGCTGTCCTGCTGCCCTCGGGCTCCGCGGCTTTGCTCTGCTTTGCTCCCCGTCTCCCTGATCTGCAGACCAGGGGGACGGGGAGCAAAGCCGCGGAACACGCGGACAGCGGACAGCCCAGACGCATCAGCTCAGACTCCATCCCGAGCCCAAACCACCTACCCACCAGTTAAATAGACCATTAATCTGAACTCCTCAAGACCAAGCCAGATGGCATAGGCCAGCCACATGATTTTTATTGCGATGTACATATACCCCTAGACTAGGAGACTGCAAAACACATTATCAAGGGCACAAATACAGGAGGCACATAGGTAACTTTTACACTGAAAACTTAGGTGCTAAGTGAATGTAGCTGTCTCAGGGGTTTGGCAGCAGTTTTGTGAATCACAGTGGAGCCAGAACTCAACTAAGTCTTTAGGTTCCTAAGTAGCTTTGTAGATTTGGTACAGAGACATTAAAGTCAAATGTGTCTAGTAACTTAGCTTGGGGCATTTATCTGTATTGTGAGCAACCCAAGTTCAAATCCCAGCTTCACATCAGGGAAAAAGGAAATGGAATCCAAGTCTTCCATTTCCTAGCATTAGTCTAAAGGTTTTAAGAAAGGCTACTCCCCTCCTCTTTTTTGCTTCCCCTCTCTGGTTCCCTTCCCCACTCCCTCACCCAGTATTTTGGCTGAAATTTCAGTTCTGAATCCAGTTTTTGCAATTTAGGACACTATGAATTAGATCCTGTTGCCTAGCTCTGTTCTTTTTCATGGATCCTAAGCAGCTCAGGATAAGTGGAAGAATCTGGAAACAGGCATAGTAAAGTGACAGAGAACTGTCCTCAGCTGGTGGAGTGATCACTATCCTAATTAGTGTAAATTAAAGTAGTGCTTAGGCTACTCTAACTTATGACAGAGATCACTTTGGTCCTTGGTCATCGCCAGGATTGGGTTTACAGGGAAGGAATGGAGCAGAAACATGACTTTTTTTTCAACTTTTCTGAGTCCTGTGCCAAGCACAGCTTGATGATATCCAGGGATCTGAATTTTAATGCATGTCACAGATCATCTACTAGAAATAAATATATACACAAGATCAGAGTTAACACAGACATATACTTCTCCTTTTCAGATAGAAGGTTTTTAAAATTTCTTACCTGTCCCTGAGAATTGTCCAAAGCTCTCCACCTAGACAGGCTTCCATCAACATGTATAAATATTTGCTGTCTTTGAATGTCCTGTACAGCCTATTATTTGCAAAGAAGTAAGTGCAATAAAAGATAAAGAATTCTGTTTGGTAAAAGGTATTCTAGTGATTTTTCACACTTCTTATTGTTACATATATTTTGAACATCACAATATTGAACATCACTTGAGTATCTTCATTCTGTTGAATCATATATGAAATATTTTGGCAGAAGGGATGTGGTATTTTAGTGTTGAAATGCATTATAAGAGGATGATGTTGGTACTCTGGGAACTAAGAAACCATGACATTTCTAACTACTTAGATGACATTGCTGCTTTCAAAGATTATTTGAAAGAGAAGGAAGACAATATGTACACCAGTTCTTGTAATGAGCAAAAAATCCTTTATCCTTCAAAGTATGGAGTCAATCTGTAGATCTGAAGTCTTTCTTTCATTTAATTTCAAAAGAATTCCCCTTAATTTTTGGTTCATGTAAGAATTCAACACAATTTGAGAATTAATTTCATAGACCTTTTTTTTTAAAAAAAAGAAGAAATCCTAATCATTTGACTAGCAATAGGTTCTTATTTCCCCTTTCAGGATGACTGAGTATGTGGGAAAAATAAGTTTAATGAGATAGCTGGGGCAAGGAGCATGTATTCAGCATATACTCTATGTCAGGCTTCACCTAAACGCTATGGGGAAAACTTTCCTTTCTACACATTTCCGCAACATTCTTGTGAAGCAGTCTGGAAATTGTGTACCATCTTCAGATAAATTAAACAAATGGAGTATATTAATTTAATTAAATATGAAAATAATGCAAGGAATTGTACATTGTATTATTTCATTTGATGTTAAACTAAATGAAATTTACTCTGTATTTTCCATTTTAAAGGTGCTGAAGAGCTTTGTTCTGAGAACATGCAGCATGCAGAATCTATCTGGAGGAAGCTGTACATTTTGGCAGATGGGTAAAGGATCATTGGGCTCCTGAAAAGTTAAGGTCTGGGAGATAGATTGGCTTTGTCGGATAAGTAAATTTGCTCCCAATTTTGACCATAAACCCATCACTAGATTTCAGAATTACTATAGTGCAAAGGCAAACTGTTCTGAGACCTATTGTTATGCCTGTGACAGTTGTCATTTCAGGCTTTTTGCAGAAAGCCGCACACTTTGCTATATCTGTTTACACTCAGTTCACACATTTGAATGGTTTTCTTTGCAACCACATCATAAAGAACAAAAAAGCTTAGATTCTGGAAAATAATTCTTCAGCAATGAACGGATTCTATGATTGTGTAACTGCATCCATGCACAGGACTCGGTATGTGTTAAGCATTATGGACTTGATAGTCTCCAGTGGCTATAATGAAAACAGAAGATGTTGCAGAATCAAGTAGTTCAAAGTAAATAATATACTTCGTTATACCTCTCAAGGAGCTGTTACGTGATATATACCATGAAAGAGGGATATACTAGCTGGTCATGATACAGTTGTTTAATGCATTCGTCTTTTATTTTTAGAGGCATTTGGTGAAATAATAGCTTAGGTAACATGAAACTGTTGGTCTCAAAATAGTCTCTACTTGACATGATATCACAAAACAGAGCAGAGTTTGTCTTTGATCTATATTTGTACAGCGCACAGCACAATGCCACTTAGGGTTGTAATAAGGATAACAATAAGAATAAAATGACTGTCATACATTTTGGAATAGCAATTCATCTGTTCACCTCTACTAGAAAATTCTGAGACCTATAATCCATCTCAGGACTGAGGAGTATTTGCTGACCTGCAAGAGGGTATTGTCTACACTATAGCTTTTTTTCAGAAAAACGGCCATTTTTTTCAAAAAACGTCAATTATGTCCACATTGCAATCATGTCATTCCAAAAGAAAATCGAAAGAACAGTGGGTTTTTTCTGACATTGGTAATCCTCATTCTACAAAAAAGAAGCCTTTTTTCCAGGCATGTATGGATGGGGAAGAGGGAGTTCTTTCAAAAGTCGACTAAAGAGGAAAAAGCATAGATGCCCTGGTGGCCACTCCGTCCATAGTAATCACAGCTGAAATGCAAGATTACATCCATTCAGTGTGGATGCTATCTTTCAAAAATGCAGATCACTTTTTCAATGTGCTTTTGCAGTGTGGAGGCTCTCTTTCGGAAGAAGTTTTTCTGGAAGATCTCTTCTAGAAAAGCTTCTTCCGAAAGAAGCCTGCAGTCTAGAAATAGCCTGAGAAAACTTACAAAAATTTGCTAGAATCAATGCCTTTTGTCTTTTGCTTTGTCAATAGCCACAGGGGGAAAATCAGTTAAAAACAATATATGTTCCTCTATTTATGAAATATTAGTCTTGATTCATCATAGCATAGGATGGTCACAAAAGATTAAAAGAAAGAAAAATGAACCCATCTTTTAAATCCTCCTTTTGCAATTTATTTTGTCACTTATTAGACTTCAGTACAAACTTGATTAGTCAATCAAAATTAAAATAATTTAATTAACTACTTATTTTAGTTAAGAGTTGTGCAAAAGCTCCAGCAGTGGGACATTATATTGCTAAAAATAGCAAAGTCGATGGAGGGCATGACTTGGACATGAAGAAAGCCAAATAGGGCATGTACCTGGGCATGACTTTACATGCTTAAACCATGGCTTACCAGCTGCTCTGATATTTATATCTGTATTAAAGGGTATATGCCCTATATAATTCCTGAATATATACCCTACAAGGCACCATAAGAAGTATGCAGCATAACTGTATCTAAACAGTTTCTGATCAATTTTAACATTTTTAGGTTTACTCATCCTCATAGCAGTCCTGAATATGGTTCATTACATAAGCAGCCTTATTTTTGTGCTTTCCTTCTCAGATCCTGCAGTAGATCTGAAGATAAATAGAAATACTTTCCAGTATCTTATCTTACATGAGGATTACGTAAGCAAAAAGAAGGAAAGAATGTGATTAGTATATATTTAATTAGCTAATGAGGTCAATGCTTCTAGACATGTAAAAGTTTGCAGGATCAGGCTCTTAATCTTGAGAATATGTTCTCCTTCAATTATGTTAAAATGTCCTTTATGTTTTCAGTGTACATGTCCTGCTAGCCCTGTTTATAACAGCACCATCCATTACATTAGTATATTGATTCAGACAGTGGGTAGCGCATTCAAAACTTTAGAAAATTATTTGTATGCTATAATTGTCTACAAGGAGTCCTTTCAATTTCAGTACCATCTCAAATCTAGATAACTAAGGCTTTTTTTATGGATCAAATATGAAAGAAAAGCTAAGTGTAAAGATAATTGAAGCATTATGTAGTGCCACTCTGTTTATAAGCATACAGTAATTGTTGTAGCAAATGAATCAAGTATGAGCTTAAAATAAACATATTCAGTACAAAGGAAATAACAGATAGTGCTTCAATCTGCAATAAAATATATACATAAACAATTTTCCTTTCAAGACTGTGTAATTTAATGCTAATGCAAGATAGACAAGATACTAGAAAACATTTCTTTTAATCTGATATCTAATGTAGAGTACAGGAAACAAAATCACTGCTCGTTGGAAATATATGGATAACTCTTTGGCAAAGTTATTGTTCCATTTCATCTCATTCCTAGGAATGAGTATTTGTTATTCTTATAGGTCTAGATCCAAGCACAGAGGAATCTTTGAGCACAACAATCCTTCTTCCAGCATAGAAGTAGGGCCTCCTGTTCCCACTTCTTTTAAACCTCAGAGGCTCCTCTGCCATTCAAAGTCTGCATGGAGGTAGGAAATAAGACTAGACAGCCAGTGGGGAGAAGTGAGTATGTTAGGGACACATCTCTGTTTCAGCCCTGCGGAGTTTATGTGGCTAGGTAATAAAGCCCTATGCTATATTATCTCTTCTGCTTAGCTCACACCTCTAGTGGAAGTGAGCTGCAAGAGAGTGGAAGCTCTGTCAAAGACTAGAGCCGGTACAAATGCACGGAGCCTTCTCAGGAATCTGAGAGTATCTGCCAACTTTCTGATAGGTGTTTCAGCATAATTAACTTGGGAGGAAACATCCCTAGCTGAGAGATGTGGGGAGGGAGAGATGTGAGGGTGTCTTCCTGGAGAGTTCACTGCCCACAGACTTATGTATGGATTTTACCACAGATAAAATTATTTGGTCACAGGTTTATTAATTTCATCAATATGCTGAAGAATATTGCTAATATCTTTTTTATATTTATTAAATGCCAGATTTAGCAACTCTCCAAGGCTTACAATTATCTTGACTACATAAGGGAGCATCTCACCTTCCTGTTTTCTTCCTCAAATATTCACAATTTTAAGGGATGCTTAGTGTCAGATAATAGAAGTATGATTATGGCCAGAAAAGTGACCACACACTCTTCTTACATATTCAGAGGCACACCTGCTTATCTTGCTGATCAACATATGATTTTACTATTTTTGACTCCTAGGATTCGTCTAGACTGCAAGCCTCTTTTGAAAGAGGCTTTTTTTGAAAGAATCTTTTGAAAAGGCCTCTTTTGAAAGAGAGCATCTAGACCGCAACCACTTCTTCTGAAAAAACGAGCCGCTTTTTTCAAAAGAGAGCACCCAGGCAATCTGGATGCTTTCTTTCAAAAAAGCCCTGTTTGCATTCAATAATGCCTTTTTTTCGAAAGAGCACTTTCGAAAAAGGCATTATTCCTCGTAAAATGAGGTTTACCGTGTTCTTTTGATTTAATTTTGAAAGAACGTGGCCGCAGTCTAGATGCAGGGGAAGTTTTTATCAAAAAAAGGCCACTTTTTTTAAAAAAAACCTGTAGTCTAGACACAGCCATAGAGAGCCAATAAGAGTAAGGGATTTTGAGCTAGATTCTGTTTTAGCATGTGCACTAAAAGACTTGCTGAATATTGTTGACTCTATACTGGTGCATGATCCAGAAACGGTACAGCTTGACTGCAGAAACTAGGTTGAGTTTTCAGGGCTGAGAGTTAAAAATACTGAGCAGATCTGTTGACTCATTGAGAGACAATAAACATGGAACACCATAGCGCCATACTTGCAAACTCCTTGACAAAGATGAGCTACAATTAAAAGGTGATTTACCTTTTGGGCTTGTGGGACAATTCATAATGACCTCCATAACACATTGCAATTTTATAACAAACAATACCAAGTCTGAGATGTTCTCAACTTGAAATGAGTTTATAAAGTGTAGTGACAGTACCTCACAATGAAGTCTGAATGAGCCCCCTGCATTATCTGCTTCTCTGAACGTATGTGTTCCTGCTGTCTAGTGTCCACTATGTGACGTTTCTTCAGTATCTTCATTGCAAATGTTTTGGATTCTTCACTTTTCAACTGGACCTTAAATAAAAGTGACAAATATATTAGTTAGAAGCCCATAACATCTGAAGAACTAACAATCTGGAATTTTGGACAGGCATATTGTAGCACTTTCAAAAATATTAGATCTTCTAGAGAATAGGAAGTTTATTTCATAGGAGGATATAATCATAATTAAACGAAAATAAAAAGGAACCTAATTATCAGATCACTGAAGATGACTGCTCTTATCTTCAGTATTCTGCAGTCTCAGAGGGTATGTCTACACTAGCCCCCTATTGCATGTTCCCGGGCGGGTGCCATTTTTAAATCCTCTTAGTTCGAACTGACTGCCCGCGGCTACATGCGGCAGTCAGAAGTTAATCCGAACTAAATCCTTAGTTCAGATTAACTGTTATACCTCATTGCAGGAGGAGTAACAGTTAATCCGAACTAAGGACTTAGTTTTGATTAACTGCTGACTGACGCGTGTAGCCACGGGCAGTCAGTTCGAACTAAGGGGATTTAAAAATGGCGCCCGCCCGGGAACATGCAAATGAAGCCCGGGAAATTTAAATCCCAGGCTTAATTTTCAAGTTCGAATGTCTACATTAGCCACCCTAGTTTGAACTAGGGGCTAGTGTAGACATACCCAGAGGGACTTACAAATTGTGTTTTCTTCAGTTGTTCCACCCACCACAAATATGCTCTGCCTTCTTTCACCTTCTTAACCAACTCCAACTGCACACCAGAACATCCTTTCCTCAATGGAACAGCAGCCTCATACTCCTTGAATGCTTACTTTCATCAACTGACCCATCCTCTTAATAAAGGGAAATGCAAAGTGCTCCACTTAGGAAGGAACAATCAGTTCCATACATACAAGATGGGAAGCGACTGTCTAGGAAGGAGCATGGCGGAAAGGGATCTAGGGGTCATAGTGGACCACAAGTTGAATATGAGTCAACAGTGTGATGCTGTTGCAAAAAAAGCAAATATGATTCTAGGTTGTATCAACAGGTGTGTTGTAAGCAAAACTCGTGAAGTCATCCTGCCGCTCTACTCTGCACTAGTTAGGCCTCAACTGGAGTACTGTGTCCAGTTCTGGGCACCACATTTCAAGAAAGATGTGGAGAAATTGGAAAGGGTACAGAGATTTCACGATCAGTTTTTTTCTGTTCCTAGCTTGACACCACAGTACAAACTCTTTTCCATTCCTGATTTCTAGGCCAAAGGAAGGGTTTGGCAGAATGGATAGATGGTCACAGTAAGAGGCCAGGCCAAGTCAGAGGAAGGCATATCCATTTCAGCGCCTAAAAGCTAGGAATCCTCCTTTCTTTCCAACACAGTATCCTTTTCTTTTAGCAAATTAACCAGCCCTAAGGAATAACCATTTTGAAATTAGTCAGTTTGCTGTGCCTTAATAAAATGCTCACTGGATCTGTTCACTGCAAACTAGATTTCCAAACATGTAGCATATTGCTACAACATGTCCATGCATACATTTGACAGTACAATATGCCATTGAATTGAAAAGCCTCTTATAACAACTTTCTGTGTTGATGGGAAAACCAACAATTCCACCATTATATATTTCTCTCAGTTATACTCCCAGCATAAAGATGCTGATGCTAGTAAGTGTATAACTTTATTACCTTGTTATAGTCAATGGATACGTTAGAGTTATAGAAAATATTTTATTTTAGTCCTTGAAAGGATTAAAAGCATGAGAAAAGCTAGGTTTTCAATGGTGCTGTTCTTGCATATCTTTATTTTAAATTTTGATCTTCAATTAGCCTATTTTTAAGAAAATAGATATCTAAAGTTTAGGCTTTTGGAGGGAGAAAGGCTTAGTTTAAGCACATGAGACACTTAAGATCCCTCAGAACTTCTACTTATGTGCAGGGGGCCAGATTCTGCATTGACTTACTTCCTCTAGGTTGACATCAGATAATGAAGTTGAATAGTGTTTAAGTCCACAGAGAATTCAGCCTGATAGCTTAGATAAGGACTAACTTATATGGTACTTGAGGTGCTTTGAAGAACACAGAACTAACAGAATGGATTTGCCCTGTCTCCTCACTTCTCCACAAATTAGTAAGATTTCTCAGAGCTGGCTAAGTGATAGCTCATTGTCTAGCAGCCCAAGACATCAAACAAACAAAAACTCCTCATGCTGAACAAAGGAAATATAATTACAAACTGCTAGACAAGCTGGCATACATTTAATAATCATAATCTTTTATTCAGTTGAAAAGGAAAATTGAACTCCAACCAGTTTCCTTGTAGCTAACACCAAATGACAGAAGAAACTGATAATTTGCCCACCTAGACTACAACTTTGCTAAATTCCATCTCTGGTTATAGTAAGCCAACCATATCACCCCATGTCACATGGCGAAGAGTGCACATAGGTAAATCAAACTTTTTTCTACAATGTAGTGTATGGTACAAGTGCTATTTGGTAACTTTTATGAAAACAGAAAGGAAGCCAGCTTTCATTTTTAGATTTCATTTTATAACCTGTCAGTGTACCCAGGATTTTGAAATGTAGGCCAGATCAAAACTCCAGTTTGTCTCTGGAGGAGGGACATAATGTGGATGCAACACAGAACACAGCCTAATTTTAAAAAATATTTTAAAAGGGCAACCATATGTTCTTAAGAGAAAATAAAATAAAAAGATCTAGGTTGGTCTAAGAAAAGCCACCTATCCACCCACTTTCTCGTGACCCCTTTCTGAGTGGCTATGAAGTCATTTTAAATGTCTCAGTCCAGGGTGAACATGGTCACAGAGCTGGCCGCATCCGGGTCCTTCTCTGCCTCTTCCTCCTCCTCATCCCCAGCTGTGACACCCCAGGCCGGCAACAATGGGCGTTTCCAGCCCCAAGTCCACCACCAGGGGGTGGGAAAGGGGCTGTACTGCAAGTCTTCAAAATAGGGGCAGGAGTGGGGTTCTGCCCCGGAGCGGGAGCTGCATTCCTTTGCCCTGGGGTAGACCTGGCAGAACTCCTTCATCTTACTCTGGACCTGCTCCTGGCTCCTGATATGGCCTCGGTGGCCAGGCTATTGGCCATGTGGCTGTAGATGTTGGCATTGCGCCATCTGGAGTAGAGATCCTGGAGGTTTTCCTCCTTGCCCCACACCTCGATGAGGGCCAGGATCTCCGCACCAGACCAGAACAGTGCATGCCTTTCCTGGGAGCCATCAGAATGCTTCCTGGGATGGGCAGGGGTCCTTAGGAGGCTTGGGGGGTCTGCCATGCTGGCCAGATGACATGCTGTGGCAGCTGCACTGTGGCTAGAGGCTGTTAGGGCCAGTTCCCTGCCACAAGCCCTTTCCCCTATGTCTGCAGCTTTAAGAGCTGTTGGGGAGGAGGAATTGTAGAGGCCTGAGGAGTGTGGATGGAGTTGCCAGCAGGGCACCTGTAGGATTTCCTAGAGGCCTCTTATTTAGAAAAAACTCCCCGTGTGTCCACACACGCCCTCTTTCGAAATAGCTATTTCAGAAGAGGTGTTATTCCTCATGCAATGAGGTTTACAAACATTGGAAAAAGCCATCTGTTATTTGTATTTTCTTTTGAAATAACAGAATTTCTGCGTTGATGCTCATATTGTTATTCTGGACTATGGTGCAGTGCAGAGGCACCCTAAGGCTGTGTCCAGACTCAGGGTTTTTTTCGAAAAAAGTAGCCTTTTTTCGAAAAAACTTCACCTGCGTCCAGACTCAAGCCGCGTTCTTTCGAAATTAAATCGAAAGAACGCGGCTTTTCTTTCGATGGCGGTAAACCTCAATTTACGAGGAAGAACGCCTTCTTTCGAAAGTTCCTCTTTCGAAAGAAGGCGTTCTTCAATGTAAATAGGGCTTCTTCGAAAGAGAGCATCCAGACTCACTGGATGCTTTCTTTCGAAAAAGCAAGCTGCTTTTTCGAAAGTTCAACGTGCAGTCTAGACGCTCTCTTTCGAAAGAGGCTTGCAGTCTAGACATAGCCTAAGTGAGGTGTGATTGCAGGTTCCACTCAGAGATGAAGGAAGGTAGTAAAACCTGCCCTTACAGGGTGCACTGAAGAGAGAGACTAAACAGAAAATAAAGCAGTTTTCTCTGCAACAGTGAGATTGCAAAAAATCTAGTCTGCTGTCAAGTACCCAAATTGCTCAGTATCCTATTAGAATTATGTATTCAATAAAGAGAAAACAGATGGCAACATTAATAATTTCAAACAAAGGCAGAACACTATCCATGGCAATACTGCAAGTATTATGTTCTTTAGTCATTCATTTTTATAGACAAAACACTAATATATGAACTATGAAGTCAACAGAAAATCACTAGAAGGTTCAATACAAAAGCATCTTGTGTCTTTCTAATCTGAATCACAGAATTTTAATTATATTTAGTGTTCCATTTCTCATATGTGAATTTTATTTGTAGGGCATTACTACTACCTACCTTTATTTATAACTTTGGCATATAATAAGCCTTTGTAAGGATCTGAGTGATTTTCAGATCAATAACTTTTAAAATGTTATGATTGGTAATAACAATAAATCATACTAATTCTTCCCATTCAAATTTAAATGGCACAACCCTTCGCAAAATCCATGCTATCAATGACTATTTTTTTAAATTACTGGTTTCAGTAAAACAAGTAACTCACAGTGTTTTAAGGAAGCTTCAAAATGAATGAATAGTGTAAGCACAGTTACTTTTGGACAGAAAAAAACCCTCAGCAGTTTTCTTATTATCTGATAACAGTTCTACTTCCATATACATACAGAACATACAAAAAGCAACAACTAATACAAGGCATTGACCTAAAGCCACAAGACAATTCAGTCACATTTTCCACTCACATTCCTAACTTACTTTAAATCCCATAAGCATTGGAAGGGTTTCAGATGAGTGTGGAAGTAATTTGTTTTGTATCTTCTTGAGATACCAAACAAACAAAACAAAACAAACAATTAAAAACCCAGCAAGCTACAGGCTCAGAGGCTTAAATTTGGATCACCTTCCTTTTGATGGTTTTGCCAGACCTTTTGG